GATACCCATATTATTGAGTTTTTTAAAGTAACACTTAGAAATTGGATATTGTTCTTTTTTTACTCTTGCACAACTGAGATACAGTTCCGCAGGAGGAGCAAGATAAGGGGGAGATGTGTCTTTCTTTTGTGAAGTGGGAGAAATCATTAAACAGGAGTATGAAAAGACAACTGGCATGGTACCTAGACAGAGGCACGTTCTCAATTTCAGAAAACATACATAAAGAAACTAAAGATCTAGAAAACAATTCCTTTCCCACCATCCATGGATATACCCCAGTTTGAAGACCAATATTATAGATTACCTATACCATTACTTCTTTTTTTTTTTTTTTTTTTTAAAGATGACCAGTAAGGGGATCTTAACCCTTGACTTGGTGTTGTCAGCACCACACTCACCCAATGAGCTAACTGGCCATCCCTATATGGGATCTGAACCCGGGGCCTTGGTGTTATCAGCACCGCACTCTCCCGAGTGACCCACAGGCCGGCCCCCATTACTTCTTTTTATTAGGGAGAACAACCTGGATTCTTTTGAAACCCCATTCCTTTCTTCTCAGGGCACACAAAACATTATGTCATTTCATTTTTAAGAGAACTCCGTAAGGTGGATTTTATTCCACTCATTTTACAGGTGAGAAAAGTAAGATCAAAATGGCTAGATAAATTGTATGAAGTCACACAGATATCAAGTTGAATAGCAAGTATATAAATTCAAGTCATCTGCCATCAAAGTCCATTATTCATACATGGTTCTCATTTCTAAGTTCACTTTCTTGTTTTTGCTTTCTTACATCCCCTCCAAACAAACAAAGCCCCATAATATCTTCTTATAATAATGTATAATGTTACCCAGGATTTATTAAAGGATTACTTACATGCCAGAAAATATGCTGTTTTACATTCATTAGAGCCTTTTAATGCTTACAACACTATAGATAAGATGTGGTCATCCCCATTTTGCAGATACTTGCAGTAGGGCTCACACGCAGGAAAGTTATCATTTTCATAAAGTATAGATGTTTTTCAATTTGAGACTTAGAAAGGTCTTGTGAAGGTTAACATATAACAGCTGAAGGTGCTTATCAGAAGGAAAGAGATTAAAGAGTAACTTGAAAAAACAGCGTAAGATTTGCCCAAGGTCTTACACTAAAGCTAATAGGTAGTGGAGCTGGGATTCCAACCTAGGGCTGTTTGATTCTAACGTGCTCTAAACTGTTATGATAAATTGCTCCCACTAAAGCAGATACTCTGACAGAATAGGCCTAGTAATACAAGAGGAGGTCACAAGCTCGCATGTCTATAAAGGATAATAGAGTAGATAATGAAAACCAAGCCAAGCAATGAGGGGTTATAGGAAGGAGAGGCTGGAAAGCACTGAGAACAGGAGCTCATGCCTCTGCTAAGGGAGCAGCACTATTCAGCCATCTCCTGCTGTGTGGGGCTGCAGACCAGGGGGCCAGGCCATGTGACTTCTGCAGAGAGGATGGAAAGTAGGATTTTTATAAGAAATCTTACAATTGTTAAATGTTGTCAATCAATAAAAAAAATGCTGTATTCCTGTATTTTTAGTTCATTTTTAAAATACATACACATACATATATACATAACAAACACACATTCTGGGTAGGCTGAATGTGGTTCATGGACTACCACATTACGACCTCTGAGGTAAACAGAATGAATGGGTGGGCTATTCCTAACCATGTTGAGAAGCTCATTATTCTATTTAAAATATCTCTATACAGCCACTCTTTCTTATTTCACTCAAATAAGAGCATAGTATTGCTAATGAGTAGTATTGCTCTCCATCCTACTCATAACTGCAGCATCTAGTATAATGATCCATACAAACAAACCTGAAACGCTCTCAAGCACTGAAAGGAGATTCTGAGGCTCTGAAGACAATGCTGCTGTTTCCTGGATGAAGCCACATTCAGACTTAACCTGATCTCCAGCTCTCCCCCCAATCTCAACATTTGTACTCTGTCCCCCACACTGTGTTCATCCACATTGTGTTCAACCATGTTCACTGTATCCCCAGTGCCTGGCACATGGCAGGAGTGCAATATATATTGGTTTTTGCTGAATATAATGGCTCTATTCATGCCCTTTCTCCATTGATTCCATCCTTTCTTATCCCAACTCAAAATTTAGCTATGAAAGTTTTTTATTGACTACTCAAATCTTCAGAAACTTCAGAGATCAGTTTAAGTCTGAATATGGCTTCACCCAGCAAACAGCAGCATTGTCTCCAGAGCCTCAGTATATCTCCATTCAGCGCTTAAGAGCTTTTCAGGTTTGTTTGTATGGATCATTATACAACCTAAAGAACTCTGTTTAAAACTTTATGCTTTTAGGTAGGAACTATACTTGTGGGTGGGACTGTTGCCACAAAAAAAAGCAAATTTATCATATTAAAGCTATTATGTACTGAAACCATACCATTTTTTGTGTGGTAGTTTTACTAATGGGCTTACTTTTGTAAATATAATGATAGACGTCCTAGGTGCAAATACAACCTACATCAAAATCACATTCTAATTGCATGTTCAATCTTATGCCTTTAATCCTTAACACATTAGAATTTCAACCTAATATTTTCACCCACTGTCCTATAATGGCCAATTAGGCAAGTATTCTAAACACATCAACCTGAAATGGAATCTTATTCTCAAGCAATCAATTACTTATATTCGCTGCTGTAGGTGGTGAGCTCACTGTCATTGTGCATCCACTTGAATTCCAAAGGCCAGCTCCCTTCAGCAAGGCAAGTGAGAACAAGGCGATTCCCTTCCAGGTGAATCTGTGGTAGGCCTGGCTCTGTTTTAAAATATGGCGCAACATCATCTAAAATATTTAAGAAAAAAAGAAAAGAGAGAAAGAAAAAAACTGAATGAAGTACACATGAAAATGGCAATCACCAATTAATAAACCAATTAAGCACTAATTTTAAAAAGTAGAAATGATGACTTTTGGGCCCAGTTATGTAGCAAATAATCCTTGATGTTCTAGAAACATGAGATTCCTCAGATAATATTTCAAAAAGCTGAAAGTTCAACGATACCACCATTTGAAGGCCTCCAAAAGTTTCACCCATGTTATTTCTATTTATGATTAATAATAGCTTATTGAAGGGAAATACTGGGCAATCCCTGCTCATGCAAGCCTTTGGTTTTATTTTTATTTATTTATTTATTTATTTGTCTTTTTTTGTGTGACTGGCCACACCACCGCGCTCAGCCAGTGAGCGCACCAGCCATCCCTATATAGGATCCGAACCCGCAGTGGGAGTGCTGCTGCGCTCCCAGCGCCGCACTCCCCCGAGTGTGCCACAGGGTCGGCCCGAAGCCTTTGGTTTTAACTAGGCAATCTATTTTTAAAATCATAAGGATGGCTGAGCGAGGCGCGGGAGCAACACCGAGGGTTGCGATCCCATTGCCGGTCCCCGGTCCGGTACGGGGGCAACACTGAGGGTTGCGATCCGTTGCCGGACATGGAAAAAGACAAAAGACAAAAAAAAAAAAAAATCATAAGGATATACAAACTATAAAAGAGAAATTTCCTCATATAACCTTCAACCGATTTTTTAAAAAGTAGAATAAGATGAACAAAAACGACATGAATCACAATCTAGCCTTCATTTCACATACATACAAAAATGATCTCTTTTAGTGATTTTCAGTGGGATATAAAACTAAAACCTATGGTATATTTCACACAAAGGAATACTACATAGCAATGAGAATGAATCAACAAAACAACATGGGTGAATCTCACAGACATAATGTTTGGTGAAAGAAGCCAGGCAGAAAAAAGGTTATAGCATATGCTTCCATTGAAAAGTTCATAAAAGTTCAAAACCAGACAAAACAAATGTATGGTATTAGAGGTCAGCATAACGAGTTCCTCTTGGAGATAGGATAGTAACGAAAGTGTATGTAATGAGGTGGCTTATAGAGCAGGTCAAGATTATACAGGTGCATTTAATTTATGAAAATGTATCAAATACTACACAATTTGTCCATTTTTTGTAAGTATACTTCAATAATATTCTATTTTAAATATGAATACAGGACACTTGGATTGTAGCTCTAGGTCCATCACTAATTAGCTAATGACCCTGATCAGCACACATGGGTTTCTGTTTCTTCATCAGCAAAATAAACAGAAGTAGGTGGCTTCCCATTTTTCTACAAAAATCCCCAAGACCCACCTCTGTAACAGCTACCTTTCTATCTTTCAGGCCTTCTACGCTTTCTACTCACACATAACACTCCAGGCATATTTGGTTTTTTCAACATTTAAACCCAAGCCAACCTCTTTTCTATTGTTATAGTTTGAATGGCCCCACCAAAACTCATGTTGAAATTTGCTATGGTAATAGTATTAAGAGGTAGGACCTTTCTTTTTCTTTTTTTTTTTTTCTTTTGGCAGCTAGCCGGTATGGGGACCTGAACCCTTGACCTTGGTGTTACAACACCATGTTCTAACCGACCAAGCTAACTGTGCAACCCAAGAGGTGGAGCCTTTAAAAGATGATCAAGTCATGAGGGCACAGCCAGTAGATTAGTTATTGCAGGGCAGGCTCCTGATAAAATGGATGAATTGGGCCCCCATCCTCTCTCTGTCTCACATGCTAACTTGCCCTTCTGACTTCAGCCATGGTAAGACACAGCACAAAGGCCCTTGCCAGATGCTGGCACCATGCTCTTAAGCTTCCCAGTCTCCAGAATCATGAGCCAAATAAACTTCTATTGTTTATAAATTATGCCAGTCTGTAGTATTCTGTTGCAGCAGCACAAAATGGACTAAGACGCTGTATTAGTCTGTTTCTGTTGCTTATAACCTGGGTAATTTATAAAGGAATGAAGTTTATTTCTTAAATTTTCAGAGGCTGGGAAGTCCAATCTTCAGGGAACGCTTCTGGTGAGGGCTTCTTCTGAGTGGGAACTCTCTACAGGGTCCCACGGTGACCAGAGTGTCACATGGCAAGAATGAGCTGATCAAGACAGCTAACGTTCTCACTTGCTCTCCTTATACAGTCATCAGAATCACACCCATTACTCTATGAATGGATCAGTCCATTCATGAGGACACAATCTAATCACTTTTTAAAGGACCCAACTTTCAAATACCATAATTGGATTTCCCACCCCCTTAACAATGTTATAATGGAGATCAAGTTTCCAATACATGAACTTTGGGGGGACATATTTGACCCGTGAAGACACCTACTTTGGGACGTTGGTACTTGCTTTTTCCTCCCCCTGGGATACTCTGTGTAGGCTGACTTCTTCTCATCCTTCAGGTTGACTAAAGGTCCTCCCCACCAATATGCCCTAGCAAATTATGTTTATTTCATTCACAACACTTATCAGATTTTGAAATTAAAGTATTTATGAGTTACTCCCCAATACATCTCCTGTCTTGATTACTCCTGAATTCCCAGCACCTAGAACATTGCCAGAAACAAAACAAATATTGAATAAACATTTGTTAAAGAATAAATATAACACAAATAACAGCAATAGCTAGCATTTATTGAGTATTTAGTATGTGCTAAAAATTGTTCTAGGTGTTCTATATGTATTAACTTACTTAATCCTCATAAAAGTCCTATGAAATAGATGTATTATACACATTTTATAGATGGGTAAACAGGTGTGGAGAATTTAAGTAACTTGCTCAAGGCTACTCAGCCACTGGTAGAGTCATAATTTAAACTCAGATAATCTGGCTCCAGAACCCACCAATTATGACACTAAGTGTCACAGATTTCTCAGTAAGGGAACTTTCTTCTCAAGAACCCATATCTAACTTCAGTATTTGTGGCATTACTACGCTTGACTTTTAATGAAATTACTGTAATTTAACAAATTAAACATCAAATAGCATATTAACAATATTAAAATTGAGACCTTTAGTGGCACATTAAGGTGTCACACATATACTGAATATACAGAATTTAAATATATAGACTATCTTTTGCCATTGTGCTGATCACTGTATTCCATCATAATTGGTCCATAGGAAATACAGTATTACCAACCTCTTCCTAGTGTTCATTCATTTATTCATTCAAATAAATACTAAATTGCATTTGTGAGTGTGGCAAGAACCTATACTAAGGAGATTTTACCATGCTATCCCTACATGATTATCTGTGGTGCCCACTTCACATTCAAAAGTGCTCTAGAGTGAATGATAAATTATATAATCACTCTATTTATACACCTTGGTCAGAAGTACTGTCAATATTTTTATGATGATGATTAATAGCTATTATTATAAAAGAACAGCAGACAGCCTTTGATGGGGTTTGAGTTCTTTAAAATCATTCTGGCTGTACTGTGGAGAAGGAATTAAAGAGGAACCATAGCAGTGGGAGTGCACCAGTTAGGAGGCCACTGCAGTGATTTAGGTAAAATGTTTTAAAAGGTGAGAGAAGGTTGGGCCAAGGTAATAGCAGTAGTTGTGAAGGAGATGAAGAGAAATAGATGGTTTTAAAATAATATTTAGGTGGTAAAAAAAGATTCAATAGTAGATTGGTTATGGGGGTAAGGCATAGGGAGGTGTCAAGAAAGATTCTTAAGTCTCTGGCTTGCACAATTTTGTGCTCAATAAATATACATTGATTCTATGTGCTAGACCCTGTAATCTGCAATGGGAATACAAAGAGAATAAAGCACAGTCACTGTCCCTTAAGAGGTTATATTCAAGGTCTGATGCAAGAATATAAACAGTATAGTGTCAGGTGCTATGAAAGAATAAGACTTTGAGTTCAAAGTCAGTAGTCAATCCTTGTCCTTTTCCAAGAGTTCCATCTGCTTCTGCTACACATGACATGCTCTAAGCTGTATTTCAAGTGCATTCTTAGGTTTTGACTGTCACCCATGTGTCCAATTTCCCTTTTTACAATGTACTTCAGTTAAAATCATCCATTCTTATGTTCCGAACAATTATATAAAGCTGAATTGCAATGGATGTAGCTTCAATACCCTGGGATTTACTGAGTTACGGGCTTTATTCATGTCCTGCCATTTACACTGTACTCAACAACAGAAAAAGAATACCACTTCATATGGTCCCAGTATTGTACATGAACGAATCATTAAAAACACATCTTTTTGAAAAGAAAAAGTTTCAAAATAGAAGCTCAAGAATATGAATTTGGTAAATTGACAGAACATCATCAATTCAATATATTACATGATGGTCTGGAATTTAAATGATATCACAATTCAATTTTTCATAGAATTCATAGTTAACTAAACATGCCTAAATTATATACAAATTATTATGCTGGGTACTGTGATCTAGTAAGAAAAAAAATCACCATAAAGAATAGTTTCATATAGTTGGCAAGCAAATGTCTTGCAATACAAATGATGATAGAATTATGGCTAGCACAGATGCTAACATTTATTACAAGAAGAAGAGAGGGTAAATGTCAATACTCTGAAATTATGTGTCCAATTTGAAATTATTACCACAAGTATTTTAATATAGATTATCCAACGTGGAGAACAAAACATAATTACCTCTCTGAGCCCAGCACAATTTACCACTGAAATACATTCAGTACATCATGAAATTAAAAGAGGGCATAAAGGTAACAAAACACAAAAGCTTTGGGGAAAGAAAGAAAGAAGGATTAGTATTCAAGTCTGCACAGACTCCCTACAAAAGCATTTGATCTTTACATACTTTAAATGGGACAGAAAAAAGTCCAAAAAGATCCATAAAGGAA